TCTTCCTCTGCCTTTAGCAAGTATTCTCTGGGGCCTGAGTGTGTAGGTCAGTGGTAAAGCGTTTGTCTAGCACTAGCATGCTTGAGGTTGGGATCAATTCCCAGCATCACAAAGAAAAAGAAATTCTCTGACCTACCTGTTGGAATAGTAGGTCTTAAACCCTCATTCTAGAGGGATCCTTACTCATATCCTCAAGGGAGAAAAGCTGCTGAACAGACCAGCCTGGCTGGGTTTCCCCACCCAGTCTGTGAGTAATCATGTCTACGCAAAGAAGTCTCCATAAAAATCCACAGGGGACTTGATGTGGTACACCCCTCAATTCTTGCTTCTCAGGAGGCTAAGGCAGGAGAAGAGGTAGATTTGAAACTACCGTGGGCCACTTAGTGAGAACCTGTGTCAAAAATTGTTTATAAAGGGCTGGGAATGTAGTTCAGTGTGGAGTACTTGCCTGACATAGGTTCAGTCGCCAGTAACACCCAAAATAGCCAAGTGCAGTGTTATACACCTTAATCCCAGCTCATGAAGGCTGAGGCAGGAGGATTGCAAGATTGAAGCCAGCCTGGGCAATTTAGCAAGACTCTGTTTCAAGATAAAAAAATTAAAAGGGCAAGGGAGGTAGCTTAGTGGTAGAGTACCCCAGGGTTCAATCCCTAGAATTAAAAAGAAAAAAAAAAGACTTATGTTCAGAGAGCTTCCAGGGTATGTGAATATGGCAGTTCCCCACAGAGCAGAGGCCAGCACACCCAGAGAGGCTGGAAACTGCAACTCCCTCCCCACCAAAGTCTCTCACCCTATCACTTTTCCTTCTTAATATACTTCATAATAAAACTGTAAACAATGAAAAAAAAAGATTTATATTAAATCAAGTTGGAACTTCTGATTCTTACATAGTACTAACAATCTAATTGCTGAATTGAGGTTTATTTGTGCAACTTAAGGAAGTAATAGGATAGTATGTTATTTAAAATTGAAAAAAATTGTTCATATAATATGCTATAATTCCTATCTAGTGTCAAGGGAAATAGTTCTTTTAAACAAGAATCTGTAAAGGGACAATAACAGGCAAAATACCAATTTGATTAAGAATATTATTTAGTGTTTATCCAATATAGCAGTTATATCAGTTTACTTCAGACATCCTCAGAACACAAATATTAAACATAAACTATGACCAAGCAATATTAAAGGATTAGTGAGTAAATTTAAAATTATATAAATTAGATTGATTAGGACAGGAGATGTTTAAGCTCTTTTTCCTACACATACACACAGAGGCATATGCACTCGAACACATCTGAACTCCATTCAGGCCTCGATGAGGTTACGACACTTAGAATTTGTGCAGTAGGACATAATACTTCAGGTCTCTGTCTCATTTGAATGGTTGCATAAAATCTTTCCCTATTTCTGGGAGAGAGGCCATAAGAGGAGTCAAGGTGAAAGCACTTTTTTGGAAAATGAAAACAGTTTTGCATTGGAAATTTCTACATCTTAACTGTCTACACTGGCTTTGGAATGGAAAGATGACAGACACAGTGGAAGCAACTCTGAAAACAAGTTGCAGAACATCTGCAGAATAGGAGGAGGTGCTGGGTGAGAGGATCGAGAGGTTGAAGGGACGCACGGGGCAGCTGTTGGAGGCAATTACTCTAAGGCTTCTTTGATGACTTTTTAAGTGAATCTTTTCCTTCACAGTCTCTCAGTTATAAGGTTCAGCTTGTGCATTTTAGAATAGACAAGAACATTGGGAATTTCTGTAGGGAAATATCCTGAGATGTGGGTTCAGAGTGTGTTCTCTCTCTCTCTCTCTCTCTCTCTCTCTCTCTCTCTCTCTCTCTCT